GGAAAACTTGGTTTTATAAAGCTGTCAAAAGTTATGTCCTAACTTTGCTTTTTTAAAAGTATTTGAAGCAGCTGCCTTCTGCCTCACTGAAAAATCCAGGTAAACTAGTTTTCTAGTGTAATACTATGGCTCTAAGAATCATAATCACAGAAAAGAATTTCTTGCCAAGAACACAGAACTGCATAAAATTAATAATTTAAGATAAGTAACACCCTCACCATTCCCCTGAAGTAGGTTCTATTGACCTGTATTCCTTATTGTATCTGCAAAGCTTCCTTTAAAAAAGGAAAAACTATCTTAGCAGAAAAACAATTAAAAATAATTATCAATATGATAACATACCCTGCTCCAAATTTGCTGAAGTCCCTCTTTGACTGCAAGGTATATGCAGTCAGTCCAAGAAATACAGCAGTAGTAAGAATAAAGGCTTGCAAGACGATGGACACATCATAGAAACTCACTATAAACAGAGAGAGTGAACTGTCATTTAAAGAACACTACAGTACGTATTTGCTAAGTTATCTTTCGAGGAAACAGAAGTTTAAACTTTCACAGACAGGAAAAAAAAAAAATCTTAACTGTGAACCAAAAAAGTATATTATACCTGAACTTGTCTTTGCACTTCAAAATCATCATCACAGGACTCACAGACCCTTGCACTAGCTAAGTTTGACAGCTACCTTATAGCTGTAGCTTCTTAAATGGAAATAACAGATCTTCTCTACTTACAATTAAAAAAAAAAAAAGAAAGTAAGAGGCATTTTAAGCATAGATATGTGAGATCTTAAGGAAAAAGCTATCTGAATTTTTTATGATACTGAAACAAAGAAAAAAAAATTCAGTCCTTTGTAAAGGCTCAAAGTTTTGATTAGGGGATAGAAGGGGAAAGATAAATGAGTGAAATCTTTTTCTTCCCTCCTTCCTCCTTAATCTCTCTTCTCCCCAAATGACTATTTTTTTTTTGCAGAAGATCATAAGTCACGATGAAGAGGTTTCATCTTACAGTGGAAGCTATAGTGCAAGGTAATGCCACGACTTGTCCGCACACCGCTCCATCTCAACCCTGACAATGAAGTACAGAACTCTCCAAAACCAAATTCCCTTGCAGGAAACTGGGGAGGAAGATAAGGATATTTCACTTGCAGATCAGCTCTGCTGAGAGTTGCCTTATAGGACAGAACATTGCTAGCTGTACTGGAAGGACAGATGGCACAACTCATTTCTCGCCTCCAGTTTGTACAGTTTCAGTTCTGGATCAGAATCCAGTTTTCTCCCTTGATTCCCTGGTTTTTGCTGAATTTGCATCACTGTCATTAACATTTTCAAACAGGGGATTTATTATCATTTTAGTCACAACTAGGAATCTCAGATGACAATTAGTACAACATATTGGATTCCTTTTCTAATTAATAGATTTCCAGTCTTTATGGAATCAGACAATAGGATGGCTATCATTTACCTGTAATGGCAACTGTCAGTGCTTCCAGTAGGGTCTACAAGGAGCAAAAAGAAAAAATTACAAGGATAAAAAACCCCAAACAAACCACAAAACACTTACATGGAGACTTCACATGCAATAAGTCCCATTCTGCTACATAATCCCAGCATGTGTTACATTAGCTGTCTTGTTAGTTAAATCTTTATGAAAATGTTTAATTTTCAACAAGAAAATGTCAATCATACTGTCTTACTGTGCTGGAAGTTGCTGTGTTACATAAAAAGAATACAATATAAACTGAAAATGAATGAGAGACAGCCCCTATAGAAAAATGCCATTTAGGTTTTCTACTCAAAGCACACACCATTCTTTCACACTTCCTGCAAACTATTCGAGGGGCTATAAAATTAATACACTTTTAATATTTTGTTAGACAGCTAAGTGTCTGCATCAACTTCCTTTTCCTCCTCGTCCTTGTTTTGAAACAGCTAACTTAAAATCAAACATATTATTGCTGTCTGGGCTGAAGGCTAGTATGGGTCCTGAGGTTTTCTAAAAGATAACTTCAAATTAAGTTTCATCACAATAAAATATGAGAAAAGTCTCTATGTCATGAACCAAGAGGTCAGGAGTAACAGAACATTTAATCCATATTCTTAAACTGATTTATCACACACAGATTTGAATCCTTCTATTCCTATACAATGTAATACTTAAACTGTCATACTACAAACTCCCACACCACCACATTTGGCCAACTATTACATCATTCCTTGTTACAGCTGCACTTGTTGAAAGTTTTAGAACATTTTACTCTCCTGCAAGCGTTCAAAAGTCAGGAAGCACATAACTATGTTACCATTTAAACAGTCTGTCTACTTATACAGTAAAGCTGTCTTCCCCTTGTATCACAAATACAATTTAGGCAACTCCTAAAGCACCAAATTCTAATTGTGCTACTGTGACTTCTTTTCAGAAGACTGATTTGCTACATAATCCAAAATATTCAAGAGCAAAAGTTAGTCCTCATCTACAGATTTGCAACATCACGCAGGAAAACGAAATTTCAGGACAGCTCTGATTGACTTGCCTGTGTTGGAAACACGCTCAGAACTTAGCATCAAAAAGACAACAATTAAAGAAATAAACACATATGGCTAGTTGCATTTGGTTTTCTTGCTGGAGGTTGTCCATTAAACAAATAAGGTAACAGAAATGCCTACTCCTTTCCTACCAAGCAGTTTCATAGAAAAATCACTGACATCAAGAAAACAATGAGAACACATATATATATACACACATAAAAAAAAAAAAAAAAAAAAAAGCTCCCTCAACCTGATTCCAAGTTGTAACACTCTTCCTAAAAAGAGGCTGGAAGAAACCTGACGTAGAGGCTTTCTAAGAACCTGTGGACAGAATCTCCAAAAAATAACTCAGATCTTCTCAAGTAAATAGGGTATCTTTCAAGGAATACAAGAAAAACAAATTACCCACTACTAGTTTGCTTCAAGGAGTTCACCACAATGAAAGATATTCTAGGAACTAACAAAATTAAATTTATAGAAATACTTACAAATCCAAAAAGCAGGTATAAATTAACAGGATGCTGGTGTCTGTAGAGGGTCAGTGCTACTATTATAGCCAAAGATCCACACCCAGAAATCAAAAGCAAGGCAGGCCTTTAAAGTACGATACAAAAAAGTCATCAAAATTAAAATAAAATATCTGGAAGACTAAAAACCAGTTTATATAAACCCAAGTTTTTAAGTGGTTTTTATCACCTATATAAACATATTGCTCCATATATCCAAAATAAATGTAAAGCAAGTTTTACAATAAAACTGCTGTAAAACATACCACCACAGATAATCACTTAAAAAGTCACAAGTAAAAACAATTTTTTCATACTAAAGCTAAAGATTGCCCAGGAATCCACCACCAGAAGATGAACCCATATGAAAGAGGAAAATCCATCTGTACTAAACTAACAGTATTAAAGTACATGTAATATTTTGCCTATTAAGAACTCCACATTCAGGGAACTGTTTTTTCTAAGCACCTGAATGTAACAAACATGGGTACTAACTGCACCAAAGAAAATCAGTCCTGATCAGTAAGTATCACTGTAACTAAATCATTCAAGCAGCCCTCCAAGCAAAAACTGAACCAAAATCAAACACAGAATCACAACGGTTCTAAGTGAGCAGGGCAATTTTAAATTATCATATTTAAGTGGAAAACTGTAGTTTTACAACCACTGTTGTATACACTATAGCTTACACAGAAACTTTCACATAGTGTTTGATGCTCCTTTTTTATTTGGGTTTTGAAGTGAAAGCAAAAAGTAAACTCTGCAAGTGGAAGGGAGAAGAGTGAGACATGATTCAGCTTTTTGGAACAGGTACGTATAAACAGTAGCATTCCAAACAGATTCTAAAAGTAGATACTTAGACCATAAAACAAGAAATGTCAATAATTGAGATGTTCTGCAACTGATGCATAGGTTTTCATAGCATAAATATAAAAATAAGCACTATTAATAAAGTATTGATTAAAATAAACTTTAATTGTAATAATAAAAATAAATTTTAATAATAAACCAAGGAGAAAAAGGTCAGAGAAATTATTTCCTAATCAGGTTACAGAATTTCTATTACAGAATCAAAACACAGAGCATGAAAATGATTAGGAATACTGAAGTGTTCCAGAGCAACAACCTACATGAACCATACTTAAATACAGGACAAACAGCTCGATTTTATTTTAGTATTTACCTTTCATGAACAAATGCCTGCACTCCAGTAGAGTATAGAAAAATTGCAGATGTGACTGTGGTCAAAAGAACTTGAATGGAAAGAATACTATAGACTTTCCGTAGAAAAGCTAGAATAAGGAAAATAAATATGAAATCACTTTTGAGTTACAGAGTTCATCAGTATATCAGATGTAAGTTTTCTATTTGATAAGGAACCATTAGAAACTTATTCAGTGGAAAAGCACAGAGCAGTGGTAAGAAGCCATTTTTCGTTAAAAAATTGCCACAGTATTCCAGCAAAATTATATTTCTTTCTGGACTTCATTACTTAAACAGTAACAATGACAAAAGAAATACAAAAAAAAAATTTACAAGGAATTTACTTCAGACGATTTTAAAAACTACATACACCTAATCCCACTAAGAAATTACTAACTGTATACCTTCTCCATCACGTTACTGGTATCTAATGGGTCTAAATGAAGAGAGATTAACTTGGAAGTTCTGTGGAAGCCAGAAACAGCCATAAAAGTTTAAAAAGGAAAAACTTTTACCGTAATATCTATGTGATTGACCTTCTGCCACGTTAAATGTTGCTTATCATCATTTGTGACTTGCATTGTACTGAATGGGTACCTACAGATACAGACTGCTAGAAAAAAAATTTAAAATCCCAGAATTAAGCTAACAGGCTTCATAATTCTAGAATTATGAAGAGTAGAGAGTGGTTCAGGACACACAGATGTATCATACAGATATTCTCTGTTCTGAACAGAGGACGAAGTTCATTAGGTAAAATGCTCTGAAAGGAAGAATACGCTTACAAGGAGAATCAATTCAATCTTTAATAGCATAGCCTAAAAAGTTTAAGAGTACGTATGACAACAAGTTGAATTACCTGCTTGCAGCAGGTAAAGTTAAATGTACTTGTAAGCCATGAGGGACTGGGCCTACTTTGTTGTAATAAACTGAACAAACCTAAAAGTAGCCTGGCTAGCTAGCATAGCCTTCTCCCCACATTATTAAATGCATCAGCAATTTTGCTAATGGCAATATCTCTTTCATATTTTCTATGGCATCTTTTAATTCCCAAACAAGATAAAACTGTATTTTTATAAAAAGAGATCTCCTGTTTATCAAATATATATAATAAAAAATTCAAGCATACAGCTGGTTTTATTTCAAGATGTATCCAATAACACCATTTCAGCAAGGACTACTGATTAGACACCTTCTACAACAGTATTCAATGCATTTGAGACCTGCATATTAACAGCACAGCAATATTTCACGGCCGCTAATATGACCTTATCGCACACAAACGCTTCAGCAGCAGAGACCGTATTTTAACACCTCACAGAAGAAATTCATATTCCTCAGTCTCCTGGTTAAATTACTGTAATTACGGGCACCAGCTTTAACATTTATGCATCTCATGTATCGTGTCTGGGCTTCAAAAACGCATCACTCTGGGGAAAATCAAGTCTGAATCTATAGGGGTTTAAACCCTCTGATAAAAAGACCTACCCCTTATCCGCTTAAATGATAAAAATCTTTCACCGGCCACTGCTTAACCTGGACTAAGTAACGTCCTGGCTCCTCACTCACAGGCTTTGCCCAAAAGGTTAAAATATTGCGCAGAACCTGAATTCGGCTAACCCCCCACCCCGGCGATGGGGTTAGCAGTGAGGCCCTTGTTGGGAGCACTGGGGTACGAGACCCG